TATAAAAGGAATTTACATAGTAATGTACGGAATTGTGCCCTTACTATGAACTTCAATTAGAATAATCACTGCATAAATCATGCAAAAAACTGTCTATAATTGTTGCTCTTTAATTCTATTATAAGTCATGTATTAAAAGTCACGTTTAAGTTAGTTACACCCTTAAAGGCCCTTTAAAAGCAGTAATAATATTTTGTAACGATTTTTCTACTAAGTTATAAGAGAAAATTAAGCTTTCTTTTTTTTTAAATAGCTAATTAAAATACAATGAGAGTTTCTGTATAAAATATTGTTTTAACATATTTAACATAACGCACCTCTCATGGAAGAATGGCATAAGTGAAGTTAAGTTAAAAATATTTGTCGCTCTATTAGATACTGAAAAATATAATCCACATCCTCTCCAATTGACTACCTCCGTGGCCGAACGGTTACCATGCCGGACTGCCACGCAAATCAAATCAAACCGTTTATTTGCATAAAACATGGTGGTCATGATAACACAGTAATATACATATAAGTTCAAGCATGTTTCGCCCGAAGATAATTTAGGCATGCAAAATAAATGAAAAATAGGTCGTCACATGGTTACATTTACATTAAGTTACATATAATTAATTTAAATTCTTTTACATAAAAATTATTGTAGAAATTCCCTAATACTATAATATACTTTATTCTTTAACAATTCATATAATTTAGTCTTAAATAATGTAATGGGCAAGTGTTTAATGTCATTTGGTAATCTATTGTAAATTCTGATACACATACACAAACAATTTTGATTATATTTTTCTACCTTAGGTACGTCAAAAAAAATTAGTCTATTGGGATTTCTATAATTTCGATGGTTCACGTTAATACTCTTAATAAACAAATTTAAATTATTTTTCACAAAAATGCTGGCTTCATAAATATATAAGGCAGGCAGGGGTAATAAACCAAGATCTTTAAATATAGGTTTACAGGATTCAAGCGGAGTCCTACCAGTAATTGCACGTATACATTTTTTTTGTGCCAATAACACTCTGTTTATATTCGTACCATTTCCCCAGATAAGAAGTCCATAACGTAGGGTCGAGACTACATATGCGTGATAAACTGTTAACATGGTTGACATATTTGTTATATTACGCAAACATTTCAAGGAGAAGGCAAATTTGTTAATTCTTTCACAAACGTTTTCGATGTGAGATTTCCAATTTAATTGTTTATTAATGATTATACCTAAAAATTTGGTTTCGTTTAGCTCGTCAATATTCAATTCCTTATATCAGAGGTCCCAGGTTCGATTCCCGGGCCGGGAGAAATATTTATATGGCCTACACTTATTTCTCTCGTGAGTTTGGGTGTAATTTGGTTGTCCATGTGTGTGTCCATAGCACCCGCAACACAGGATTTCCCTAGTGCGGGGCTATGTTGAGTGTGTGCGTTATTATTATTATTATTAATTCTCCAATATTATTAGTCGATCGAGTTACAAGAATTGGAGAGGATGTGGGTCATATTTTGCTGTATCCAATAAAGCAATAAACATTTTTGACGTAACTTCACTTATGTCATTCTCCTTAGTCCTTATTATAAACAACGTAATCAAAACTTTTAGCGAAACTGAGTGCTTCCCTGGCGGTGGCGGTGTAGTGTGTCTGGCATGTTTGCCGTGAATAGAGAATGATTTTTTCGCCATAATACGAAAGAGACATTGGTCTTTTCATATGAGAGTGAGCGGTTCGGCCAATATAATTGCAAGGACAGTATGCGACACATGCTACACTGTAAGCAAACACTAAATTTTTTTAAATAAATAAATTGATTATAATTATACTATTATTTGTAATGTAAATTCAATTTAATGTAATTCTTAATTATTTACTTCATTAATAATAATAATAATCGCTCAATAAAATTCGATTTAATTGTTATGTATTGTAATGTAATAAGTAATGTTAAATTTATTAATTGGTGTATACCTAAATAAAGAGGTATTTTATTTTATTTATTTTTATTTTATTAACATAACCTCCAGATTCCAGTCGGCGAAACAAGATCTAAAGTCCCCTAAAAGCGACTTTTATGTCTTATTTAATTTCAGTTTCATTGTTTTAAGCAAAATGAGCGAAATTG